CATATTATGAAATGCTTGATCTATTTAGATTCTAAATTTGTTTCCCCGAAGAAAATATTCTGTCTATTTAACAGAGGTCTTATCATATTTTTCCTTGTTCACAAATCTTTTTAGGTGGCATCCAAGACTCTCCACAACCTTACCCAGTCTCAGCCTTTTATTTTACCCCCAAATGTTAAAAGCACTATTTCAGCTTGTACTAAATGTAATCTTCATCCCCTGTTCTTGGCATTCTGATAGCATGTTTTTGCATCTGTTTTTATACATAACACTTTCTGTCTTCTTAGTAGAAGGATATGTCTTTTATTTTACGAATCTCCATAGCACCTAGCATAGAGCCTTACACATTAGCGGCCACTCAATAAATGTTATTTTCTTTCCTCTAGGCCAGTGGTGCTCAGTGGAAGGGGATGGAGGAAGAAATGAATTATTTTGCTCTCCATGAGACATTTGGCTATGTCTGGGGGCAATTTTGGTTATCACAATGGCAGGAGGATGGTGTTGCACTGGCTTCTAGTGGGTAGAAGCCAGGGATACTGCTAAATATCCCACTGTACTCAGGACAGCAGCCTCAACCCCACCCCAACATAGAATTATCTGGCCCAAAGTGTCAGTAGCACTAAGGTTAAGAAACCCCAGGCATAGGAGAGATGACTCTTCCTTTGTTTAGAATGCCCCTCTGATTGGTTGTCCATGCCCTGCTCATCCTTTAAGGGCCAGCTAAAATGCTACTCATCCATTTATTTCTCTTTAGTTTTGTGATTACCTGTTATATTGAGGCAATGGACAAGTTAAAGATGGATAGGATCTACTTTCCTGTCCTTAAGAATCATGTAAGCCAGTAGGGAAGCTGACCTGCATATAAATAACTGGAATGGGTGACATGGCATATACAAGGCCTGTCCGGAAAGTAATCAGCCATATAACTGTTCTCGTTATATTAACAGGATACTTTCCAGACAGCCCTCATATATCTCAGACTGATGAGGAACCTTCCCAAGGCTCCAAACCCAATGGGATCTCCCACCCTCATTTAAACCCTCATACTATTCTGTGCCATACTATCTTAGCCTATTTTCTGTCGCTTATAACAGACTACCTAAAACTGGGTAATTTATAAAGAAAAAGAATTTATTTCCTACACTTATGGAGGCTGAGAAGTCTGTGGTCGAGGAGCCATACTTGGTGAGGGCCTTCCTGCTGGTGGGGACTCTATGCAGAGTCCCAAGGTGGTGCAGGCATCACATGGTGAGGGAGCTAAGCATCGTAGCTCAGGTCTCTCTTCTATTTCTAATAAAGCCACCAGTCCCAACCCCATGATAACCCATTAATCCACTAATCCATGAATGGAATGGATTAATCCATTCATGAGGGTTCTGCCCTCCTGAATGAACTCTTGTTTTTGTTTTTGTTTTTGTTTTTTTGGAGACAGAGTCTTACTTTGTCGCCTGGGCTAGAGTGCCATGGCATCAGGCTAGCTCACAGCAACCTCAAACTTCTGGGCTCCAGTGATCCTCCTGCTGCAGCCTCCCAAGTAGCTGGGACTGCAGGTGTGCACCACCACACCCAGCTAATTTTTCCTATTTCACTCTTGCTCAGGCTGGTCTCAAACTCCTGAGCTCAAGGAATCCTCCCGCCTTG